CAGACATCCAAACGATTTCAGTAGAGTGTGAGTGGGTGGTTCGGTGGGTGGGTGGGGGTACGGGGAGTACCAAAGGGCGACAGCCCCAACTGCCGCAGGCAATCTGGAACTTCCCTTCCAGGTTTCAGATTATACCGCACTATCATTCGTTAGTTGCCCAATGCAGCAAAATGACGCCCTTTGACTCCCTCACTCCCTCCCACCTAGCCACCTTTCACCCGTCCTCCCGTCCAAGGCGTGGCTGTTGCTAGGATTCGGAAGCCGAAAATCCCAGGAATTGGGAATTGGGAATCCAATCCGTACCGTGGCGTACCGGTCAAAGACCTCCATCGGCGGCCCCAGGTCCTCGTCCCGAGGGGCAGGTCTGTGCGGCCGTGACGGCGTATGACCGAAGCCGTCTTCAGATCCATCCGCCGCTCCGCGGTTGCCGCCAAAGCTGTCGCTGCTGTCGTGCAAATGCCGTACTGCAAACGGTACCGCCGCTGTGTTCGCCGCTGCCGCCATATGATGACCAGCGCGGCGCATGCAGGGATGGCAACGGCTTCCCGAAGCGTCATACTCGCTGCCGTACCTGTACGAGCCACTCGCCAGCGCTCCGGGGTGGTAGACCCACGGGGCTGATGTGTGTACTGTGTTTGCAAGCCGCGTGGGTCTGCCGTACCATGGTACGGCCTTTACCGGCGCTGCCGGGGCGCCGCCGTCACCTGCGGCCATCATGGCCCCTGATGCCGTCGCCTGTGCGCCGTCTCCCCGCCACAACCCGGAACGTCTGCGGCCCGCGTTCGTTGTGACGGGGCCGCTGCGGCTGGCGCAGCAAAGCCTTTCAAGCGACAGCACCGGTGCCTGGGGCGGCTGCGGCGCACTTTCGTATGGGAGCTCCGCCCGTAGCGGATCCCACCCATTCACACTGGTACTGCCACTGCTGGCAATGCTGTCATTGTGCGGTAAATGTGAAGAGGGCAGCTGCCGCTGCGGCAACAGACAAGGCAGTGTGGCCTGTTCCATAGACGAGCAGGAGGAAGAGGAGGAGGTGGAGGAGCATGGGAGGAGGGCGCGGGTGTGGCTGGCGTGGCCGCATAGCTTGGCTGTGGCTGGCACCAGAGCAGCCAGGCTAAAGGCGTGGGGTGCTGATTTTGGCATTTAAGACCCTATTTGGTTGCTGCTGATAGCGTTTGCTGACTAATTGCTCTTCGTGGTTGCGGTGATGGAAGGACGGGGGATGGGAAAGGACGGGGGGGAATTGGACACTGATGATGAGCAGGTGGCCGACCGCGTTTACCAGCAACTTGTAAGATCCACTCAGCTCAGGAAATCCGGGCTCTCCGGGGAAAGCGGAAGTCAAAGCCTTTTTTGGGGAAAGTTGGAATGCTTGGGTCAGCACAAGATGAGGAGCTGGAAAGCCTCGGTTGCGCTTGGTGAATAGCTCAGAACTGCAGTAGCTGCTTGAGGCGGCGTTGGGGTTGGGTGCATTATCAGCGTTAACTGGTCCAACGCCGTTGGCCTTAAAGGCAGCACATTAGCTCTGTGCATCTGACACCTATGTTGCAAAATCTGAAAAGCAGCGATCTTGTCCTGTTTGACACACTGTTGTCTACAATGTACCTGGGAACGAGCCGAAACGGAAACCTGCGGAAACGGAAACCTGCGTAAATAGGTTTCGTCACGCTTTCCGCAGCGAAGCCCAGATTGGCGGAAATGCGGAAAGAGAATCCGCATTTCCGCGTTTGCTGTACGGCGGAAATTGAAAAACAGACTCCAGGCATGCGTTTGCCATTTAAAGACTGCGTCTTACACTATGGAGTTATTAGATTAAGTCAAATGTCAACAACCACTGGCCCCGACCTGGGGGCTGCCGAAGTCATAGAGATTGACTGTGTTTCTGCTCAGAAGAAGGTTTTTTGATAATCGATTCCACAATGTCCGTAAACGTGGTTGAAGTTCACAGAGCCACGTCGTTGCAGTTATCGTTGTGCGGTGCCATTTTTAGATAGTTTAGCCCTCTCGCCTTTTTTATTCCTTTTGATTTTTTTATTTTGAATTCAAATTTTTTGGACGATTACTGGATTAATGCACAGTCAGCATAAACTTGTCCGTGAGGCATGCAGACATGCCGGACGGGTATGTGGAGTAGGCATGCAGACATGTCACTGCTCCGCAACGGACAGGGAGACGATTATTATTCAGTGTTTCCCCGGGCCCTTACCCCATGTAACATACGAGTGGCAATTTCTGAGCATCCCAGAGCACACCGTCAAGGGTGTGGGCACACAATAGTTGATCTCTTGGCCCCCGCCACCCCCAGTAATACGTTTAGATGGCTCTACCTTCGAGCACGATTGGAATCCACCAGATTCTAGATCCCACCGGACAGAACCGCACTGCCACAAGCTGGTTTCAGACTGTCCATGTTATCGCCACACTGAGAAGAGCTAAAAAACATCGTTACATATTCATTTTATAGTTTTCGCAGCTTTCCGCAGTTTCCGCAGCCTTTCCGCAAAGGGCCTTCCGATTACGAAAAGTTTCCGCAGACCTGGTCAAGCTTCGGCTCGTTCCCTGCAATGTACAATCCCCGGGATTCCCGGCGAGCGTGCCGTACAACTAACAAATTCAGTGTGTCAGCTGCATGCCTTGGTACACGGACTAGCTGCTTTGCATTTGAAAATAACAAGCTTGGCATGAAGTAGGATGTTGTTGTGCGCCTTCGCACGGACACGTTAGGCGGCAGGTTCGTCGTTGCGATGAACCGCCTGCTCAACGTTTTCCAGAATGCGGCGATAGCAGAAGTTAGTAAGCAGAATTTTCTTAGCACTGTTAGAAATCCAAATAGCGTGCCATCGTTCCGTTTTCTTGCCGCTTTCGTCCCTGGGAGCTGGTTCAGCACCGCGGTAGCCACTCCTGGCGACGAGCTCCAGCAGAACGCAGCTGAAGCTGCGTCTCCTCCTATAGCACAGCCTTCCAGAGGACAGCAGCAGTCGGCATCAGCCGGAAGCCCGTTCGCAGCCTCCACCCCAACCCCATCATCGCCGGCATGCGCTGCACACGCTCAGACCGCGAACCTCGCAGCAGCCCAGCCACAGCCTCAAGAACAGGAAGACCCACCGCCCGTTGTTCCCGTCTTTGAGGATGACGCCCTTGCCGCCCAGCTGCAGCAGCCGCAGTCCGTGCAGCTGCTGCAGGTGGTCCCCACCCCCGACGGGGCCCCGCGCGACAAGCTGCTCGTGCGGGACTTCATCCAAAACTCCCTTTACCATCCCGTAAGTCTGAAGGCGGCCGGCCTGAGACACACTGAGGAACGCCTGTGTTGCGGCTCCCGGTGTGTGCATACCCCGCAACCCTGTTCGACACCACCCGCCCACCCTTGACCCACATGACCTCCCTCCCCCCCCTCCCGCTCCTCAGACTCTGGGTTACTTCAGCGCTCCCACGCCCCCGGTGGGCAGTGTGGGCAGTCCCATCAACTACTGGCGCATCTACTGCCGGGATGAGTTCAACATCCTGGTCAACAAGAAGTACCAGGAGCTGGAGGTGAGAGGGATGGGGTGAAGGGGTTGGGTTTGGGGGCGGCCCGCTGTTTAAAGGGGGGAGACAAACCACAGACGACAGTGATGCTTTGATTGATTGATACCAGCGATAGACGGATACTCCTCACAGGATTGATTAATAGACAGATACTTACTGCACCAGGAAGTTGAAAGGAGTTACACCAACCAGTAGTACCAGGTTCAGAGGGGGGGGCTAGGGGTGGAGTGGGGGGCCTGGGTGTTTGGGGCGTCCAGGGTGAAGGGGCGGAAGCAGCAGTGCGTAGGATGGGAGCGAGGTCGAGTGCCGGGAGGGAAGTGTGCACACACACACACACACACACACACACACACACACACACACACACCCTCTGTGTGGCGACCCCCGGTGCTCAGTGCATGACGACCCGGATCGGGACCTCACGAGTCAGTCGTACATGTGTAGATGTTGGCTGCATGCGCTTG